CTCATTGAAAAAACAGGCCTCTACCTAAACTCCAGAAACGCACCTATACATACAATTCACTGCAGTTTCCAGCGGAAATGAACACTAGAGGCAGTAAAACACCAACAAGTTTCAATCATGTTCACACAAATTATGATTACAGGGCAGATTATCAATTAATAAACACATATTTTTGGTGGTTCCTTGCACATAATATTTTATGACCTCAAAACACCTTTATAGTGCATAATTTGTAAATTAATTCGTTTTGATGTGTTTGCATCAGATAATCAGTTCCATATGTATGGCTTTTCTGACATAGTAAACTTGCTCGGTAGCTCACCTGGTACAGCACTGCACACTCGAGTGCGAGTCCCGTTAAACATAAATCACGATAAAAGAGCTCAAACACTTAAATAGCATGGTAGCTTCAGCAAATGCCTTTTTATCTCATGTTTACTTTTGTTAACAGTATCGTTTAAGTTTAGAGTAGGGCTTGGTTTAGGTAGTACGATATTTTAAATTGCTAAAGAGCATTAACCTTTTAGCATTCTGCGATACATACAACAACCAACATATTAAAAAGTTGCCAGATTGATGTTCATCTGTTAAAACTCAACACTCGTTTAGCGCCACTTCACTGGAAAATTTCACTTTGAAAGTGTCGCAAAAAGTGCAAGGAGCAACGTAATATCATTTTGCACAAATGTCATCATGCATTTCTATTTTGGGTTGGAAAAATACAAATTCTATCATAAATCACTAAGCTTGCTTCTAACATTCTTGTGTTCAGAATCCCAAACAGACTTGACAATTACTAGTTTAATCCCAGTTTGATTGTTATTTTATATAAAAGAACACAGTAGCCTAGCACAAGTAAAGTAGTAACCAATACAAATCTGCTTAGGCTATATAGGTCTATGCAATGCAGCCTATATTTACTCAATGATATCATCTCATGTAATTCCCGGTGTCCTCATCAAAGAGGAAATATTAATTTCACAAACCACTATGTCTGTGGTGTGACCCAATACTGTCTATGTTCAGAAACAGATAACCAGAGAAGAACTAGCCACACTGGTAGTAAACCCTAGTGAACTGTCTTGTAATGTAAATAGGCCTATGCTTGAACAGGACATAGTGGCCGTATGAAATTAATAAATTAATATTTTCTAATCAATGCTGAAATGAATGGTCAAACACAGATCCCACCTGAACAAATTGCTGAATAAATGCGAATAACTGCATATGAGTTTACACAGACCCTGTTCATTCAGAAATAAAAAACCATGAACATCTCCCCTTTAATCTGTCGTGTTTCACGTGCTCCGGTGCAGCCTGTTGTCAAAGCCGAATAACAGACGAAAAACGGCAAATAATTCGAAAGCGTGTCATTTGACTAATACACGCGCGAATAAATCTTACCTCTGTCTACAAAAAAAGGGCGTTTCCGTTCAGTTCACACGCTCGCTGTCGGCTGTATCGCCGCATCTGCTTCGGTCCCTCATCAGTTGCTTCTGTGATCAGACACTCACCACGCCTTCCCCTTACCGGCTACAAAGACACAGACCGGGGCCATGCCGTTATCTGCGCACACACACCCGCTCATACCCATAGTAGGCGATTGTGTGTGTGTGTGTGGATCCCCTACACACGCCCTCCACTCACTGACAACACACACACACACACACACACACACACAGCTCGCTATTACAGATCCTCACACTGATGCTGCCGGGAAATAGAGTGGATTTCGAATTCGCGATATTTGATTGTTATAGAACACGTGATAATTAATTCAATTAATCGTTTAAATGAAATGACTCGATTCACTGATTCGTTCGATCAGTGCTCTAAAGGTGCGGTATATTTATCGTTGCTCGGCGAAATTTTGCGGCCAAAAATCCAGTCCGAATTTGCGCGTTTGTGAGGCCACGGAAATTTCGCTCATGTTCAAGCTGGTCACACAAATTCTGCGCTGACCATTAGAAATCTGCTTTGGTTTGAATGTGACTTATGAGCAATGCGCTACAGTGGACAATAGACCTTTCTGAACACGAAATTGTGCAATGAATGTGACCGCATCTTACGAAATACAACGAAAACAGAGCAGGTAGCCTAGCCTAATTCTAATTCCAGCTAACATTCTGAGAACTTTGGCTAACGTTCTGTTTCTCTCAAAGTTGTGAACAAACATTCTTCCAGTAACGTTAATAGAATGTTCATTCAAAGTTATCTGGTCTTTAATATAATGTTCTCAAAACGTTGCCACAACGTTATTTAAGCATTGTTCATGGCACTTTTCTGAAACGTTTTAGTTGTTGTTTGTCTAATGCTTACTACTTGTTTCAGAACATTCAGAGAACATTCAAAAGTGAAATGCTGAGTTGTTTCAACCCAACTTTGGGTCAAATGTAAACTAACCCAAGTGCTAGGTTAAGAATTTAACCCAACAGTTGGGTTAGTCCATATTAGTCCATATAAGTAAAATGATAAAATGGAACGTTCCCTTAACATTTGCACAACACAAATATATATATATATATACCTTTTTGAACACGGAGCTCTATATGGATGGTTTGAGCATTCAGAGAACATTCAAAAGTAACATTTGATAACACTGTATTTTAAGGTGTCCTTGTTACATGTTACATGTAGGCTACTTACTATTATAATAACAATTAATTATGCATAATTACATGCAGGTAACACTAAGCCAAACCCTAATCCTAACCCTAACATATAAATGTATAATTACATTGTAACAAAGACACCTTAAAATAAAGTGTAACCTAACATTTTCATAACTTAATGAGAACACTGGCAAAACATTTTTAGAACACATTTTTGTTAGCTATGATGAATGTTTTATATATGCGCTAATTAATTCAATTAGTCATTCAGATTCAATTAATCATTTGATTAATCATTCTTTGAAATATAATAACTTGGGATATGTGCTGATTAATGAGCAAAGTCATTCAAACACTTTTACATGTTAACATAAGCAAGCCTACTGAATAATAATACTGAACTAAGCATACTATCAGCCTGTTTTGTGTGTATTGACATATTATTAGGCTAGTAATTATTTATACATGAAATGCGTATCATGCACTAATCCATGTAATCCAAAATGTCTCAAATCACATTTAGATCGAACATATTAGTGACTTGACAAAAGTTGTGATCATGAGTGGTAAATTAGAACATTAGCTCAATGTTCATTCCAACCGGAAGCTAAAATCACACAAGCATCGCTAGGGAAACCCACTGCATAATTGCAATTAAGCATTATAATGATGATGTCAGTTGTACAAAAACATTATTTTTACACATATAGAAATTAAAAAGTATGAAGGTCTACACCTAGATATAACTGTCACTGGAGCTTAAGCTAATCCTATAATGCACAAATGAGATTCATACAAATAAGCCACCACTTTGCCAAAACGTAAAACATTTGTGTGGCCCCCAAAGCTGTTTTTAATGAGGATCTCTAAGCCATCATACACTCAATACAGGACAGATGTCAAAAGATGTTGAATAATCATACAGAAGATACAGTTTACAAATTCACATCTGAAAGATTCAGTTTTGTTGCTCAGAATATTGATTCTCAGTGCTGGCTGTAATTTATTAAATATAATCTGGATTACATGATACGATTCCAACATGTAAGTATTTGTAATTAGATTACATTGCATTTTTAAATATTCATAATCACAATACAGATACTTTTTTTAATTGATTACGTGAGTACATAATGTTCACACAATGGCAGTAAATTAAATTTTTGTTGTCAGCTAAACCTCTTTGACATAAAATATTTACTTGAAATACCCCTGAGATTTTAATATTTTAACAGCACATTCACATGTTCACTGATGTTAGTTAATGGTCACATAACATTTAAGTAAACAAATAAAATAAAATATAATGTAATATAAAATTATGTATTATATAAACATATATATATATATATATATATATAT